CTTAACCCCGCCCCGCCGACGGGATGCCGGGTCCGCCCCGCCCCCGCCCTCGCTAGCGCTAGCGCTAGCGCCGGTGCTGACCGCGGAAGCCACCGCGTAGGCATACGCCTGCTGCTCCCAGCCCGCGCAGCCGCAGAACAGGCACACGTCTAGCCACTCCGTCATGAGGGACTGCGGGCGGCTTACCCAGGCCGCTATCGGCTGCCGCTGTAAGCCCACCGCGGCGTCGGGGTCTGGGCTCTTTTCGAGCGGGCGGAGCTTGATCGGCTGTTGGGAGGGGTAAGAGGGCCCCCCGCGAGCGCGTGTTAGCAAGAGGGTAGGAGAAGGGATTAAATGGGTGGATGGTTGGCCGAAATACATGAGATTCTTCTTGTTCTGCACACTTGAGATGTTATTGAGGTCGCCGTCGTATCACCAACCTTCGGGAAAACATTTCACTTCCTGACCAGCAACCCCTCCCCAAAAACCAGAGTAACGCTGCAGCAGTGGCAGTTTCAATACCTGCCAAGCAATCGATGATATGGGATAATAACGTACGGTCAAAATCATTTGTGAGGGCCACGAGAAATGCGTACAACTGTACATGAGTCCGTACGGCTGAACAGAAAGCCGGACTCGACAAATACTTGGGTTTCCCAACCCTCTCTCACATCGTAACCCGCCACCGCATACACAGTAGTAAAATACGGCGTGTGGTATCTTGAAATAAGTCTGCATTTGTGTTGGACCCTGTTGGTACCTTCTGACGGCATTTTCGCAGCGACAAGGAGTCTCCTTTCCTTCGGAAACCCCCCTGACGCCAACCCTACATCCGTGCCGAGATCTGGTGGCCAACTCAAAAGAAGTCAAGGTAAACACGAAAAAAGACGAGGACGGGGGCACGCAGACCTAACCCTACCCCACACTTTGCCGATTCGATACAATATCCAGAATGTTTGCATACAGTACTTGGAAAAACCTGCGTAGACTACTGTACGTACCGGATATGTTCCGCCCCGATTCGCCGAGTACAGGAGCAGACAACACACCGCAAGAGCACAACCACGCACCTGAGTCCTGCCCGTCAGAAGGTCCTTCCTCACGCCAGCGCTAACCGCCCGTACCGTCTTCGGCCTCGACAGCAGCTGCTGCTCGTGCACCGCCTTCGCGTGGACTCCGGCCTTCGTCTGGTACGGCTGCGACTGCCCCTTCGCCGGCGTCGGCACCGCCTCCGCGCTAGCGGTGGCAGCCGCGGCGGCGGCAGCGGCGGTGGCGGCGGCGGTGGCGGCGGCGGCGGCCGGGATCG